ATATGCTTTGCAGTTAGTTAGATTTCGACTTCAGTCCGCCTAATGTTTGATATTGTACACTTTTTTCCAAGATACCAGTTTCCATTATTCAGATGAACTAAGAAGAAGTTGAGCATTTAACGGTAAACTGGAGAAAACACACATTTTTTTTAAACCATTGATTGACAATGTATCAGATATATTTATTAAAAGAAATCTAGTACTCAACAGTTGTCCATTGTTGTAACTGTTAGCTCTGTGTAAAAGGGTTTTAAATACTTGTTTGCTATCCCGTGACAATTCTTCAATGCATGAATTATAATTCCTATGTCTTTTGAAGACGCATTGACCGGAGCAGGTTAAATTTATGCGGAGAAATCGCACAATGCTTATTCAAAGATGTTTGATATATTTTAGAATAGGTGAATTTCAGTTGGGAAAGGTTATTAGGTCAACACATGTTGCTTTATCTATTTTCTAAATATTTAATGACACATGACAATCTACAGAAAACTACTATTTATCGAATATTTTCCTAGTCATTCTCTTGATTTCCATCTTCTGAAATAAATCGCAACTTCTGTTCATAGTAGATGCTTTTCTTTCCTATCTTGCTTGCGCTGCACTTTATAACTGCATTTATTATTTATATTATTATTGCCTTGCGTTCCGAGTGGAACATAGGGCTTCAACAACACATCTCCACTTTCTTCTGTTTTCTACCGTCCTCTTCAGCTGGGTCCACGATTGACCAAACTCTCTCATCTCTTCGTCACACGATCTCCTCGATGTCAACCTCGCACTGACGACCCACTTGTCGCTTCCTATTGGGATTCCACTTGAGCGATGGCCTGGCGTGCGATGTCATTCGGCGACCTCCTCATTGTAAGCCCAATCAATCCATCTCCACTTTCTCCTACATATTTGTTGAGCGATCGGTTCTTGGTTGGTTTGTTCCCATAGTTTCTTGTTGCTTATTCTTTCTTGCCGTTCATTTGATCTTCAGTATGGAACCAGCCAGCGAAGACAGCTGTTGATGAAAGTCTGAAACTGACTGTTTGAAATCCTTTTCGTGACAAGCAGTGTATGTTTCTCAGCCTTATAGAAGCACTGACTTCACATTGGTGTTGAAAATGTGAATCTTGCTGCTTATGCTGAGTGCGGAAGATTTCCAAACTGGTTTCAGTTTGATGAAGGCGTATCTTGCCTTTCCAATTCTGCCTGACTTTAACATCTTTGACCGATCCGACTGCCTGTAGTTCAAACGATGCTTCCTAAATAAGTGAAGCCACGAACTAACCTCTGTCAAATATCTCCCGTTAATAGTGGTTGGTGCTGGTTGTTGTTGCTGTTGAGTGGTTATTTTCAACACCTCCGTCTTTTCTGTGTTCACCTGCAGTCCTGTTTTCTCTGCCTCTTCAACAAACTGGCTGAAGTGGCAGAGAAAATAGGAAAACTGCAAAGATACCGAAATTACGAGTATCAATTGACTAGTTATGTTTAACGGCCTACTTTGACTAGGATACAGTAGGAATAGCTTAGATCCAATTATTTCTCGGTTTTAAATTATTTGTATCTGTAATCGCAACTTCAGACTCTAGTAATTTATTTTCATTCCTATTCTTTATTTGTAGAACTTCGTGTGCAGCTTAATGGCGAGTATTATAAGTCCACGACTATACAGGTGAATGAATTGATGAAATCAATTAGGCTTTAAAGACGCGACAAGATTGCACTGGTTAGTTCTCAGAGCACGACACAGGGCCATATAAAGACGCTACTTAATGTATATTTAATCTGTCGAAGAACTGACTGATTACCTCATCACTTATATTGTGTTATAGGCATTAATACTCAATTATCAGAATAGCTGAATTATGAACTCAAAAGTCTGTATTAGTTATGGATTGGTGATAGTGTTTTCTTGACAGATAAAGACACGTGGATTTCAAGCAATGTCATGGTATTGCTTTGTGGTATGTTGTACTACGCTAAGACTACATTGAGCTCTCGTTTAGCTGTTTTTAGTCATATATACGTAAAGTTTATGAAATGAAATGTGGGAGAATAAAATTTTGTCATAGTCTTTCTTATTTATTGTGAATGAAATTTCATTTTCAAAAAGTCGATAGCAGTTTTTCGGTCAATGATTTAGCAAAACATTCGAGATGTTTATAAGCAACAATATTAACTAACGTATGCCACGTATACATTTTATTTATTCTTAATTGTAGTTTGTGTCACGAAACATTTAGAGATTATTGAATACCAAGGAGCAATGAACAGATGTTTCGTCCTAGTTCGGCACTTTTCAGCATTTCACACCCGCGACTCTACTTTAAAAATGTTCTTTTTATTACTTTGCGTTCCCAGTGGAACATAGAGCTTCAAGCTAGAGCTTTGAAGTTGCAGTAGTAGTGTTTACTTTTACGGAGTGGGATTGCTATTTTTATGCCCAACCTTCCCTCTTTACCGCTCTTATTACCGGCTTAACGAGGTAAAGGATGACGCCACTAGTTGTACATATATATTTCTGAAAATGATTTAATGGCGCTACAGTTGCATTTATGTTTCGTGTATACATTTCAGTGAGTTCTAAAATCTGACGTTGTTTTAGTATAATTTACTTAGGAAATATCTCATAGGGAAGATGAAGTTTAACAATACGATTACATTTGAATAAAGCAAGAACAACAGTGGTTTGTGCAGAATAATATGCTACCATCACTGCTTATTTCGTTGGCTTCTCATCAGCTGCTTACAGCCTAAATAAATTATGAGGTTTACGTACAGAAACGCTTTATCATACTTGCAACATACTTACCTCGATATGGTTCATGAGGTGGAAATCGCGAAATCCTTTAAAATTATCAATAGACAATAGAGCTCAACTCTCTCCAAGTTCGCCGAAGCAATTTCTATCAAACGCTTGAAAACAGATTTGTGTTCAGAAAGAAGCAGTTTTTAGTTTTTCCTTGCCCTGGTAAATGGATATCTTTATTCTCTCATTTCATTGCGTAATCTTTGACTTTAACCTCACCCCCTTTTATAACTTGTAATTTTGCTTGTCTCTTGTTTCTATGATTTGAGTTGAACTCAATACATTGTTACCTAATTTATTAGTCACTCTGCATCTTAAGCATCTCTTGTCTTTATTAAGTAACTCCTTTACCATTGTATGCATACAATTATCTTGTTTAAACATGAACTGCTTGTATAAAAACTATATAAGCGTAATTTTCTGAGCACTGTTCACTAATTGTACAACCTTCTGTCAACTGACAACATGAAAACATTTGCAAGTATGTTAAAACGTTTCTGTATATTTTTTTATTTTTTATTTTTTGATTTACAGCTTGATTCCACACCGTATTTTCAGTACAAGTGTGGAATTTTCAGCATGAATATCGGTTGCCCAAATTCAGGCATACCATAGATATCGGGTGTGCGCCGGCAGGGGATCGAACCCCGGACCATGTGCATGGTCGGCGAGAGTCCTAACCACTGTGCCACCGACGTACACATAATCCTCATAATTTATTTAGGCTGCAAGCAGCAGCTGATAAGAAGCCAACGAAATAAACAATGATGGTACCATATTATTCTACACAAACCACACTGTTGTTCTTGCTTTATTCAAATTCATCAAGGGGAATAAATGCATGATGTTTCTGAAAAATACGAATACAACTGCTCATTTTTGGATCAGAAACATCTGTTCTACAACAGCGTTACCTGGAAACTATTTCTTTTATTTACTTTCGACATTGGTTTACTCTTCTGCATTTTAAAACGGCACGTTGTATTGAACGTTAGCAATATCAAGCAATCAAAATATCATTATTAGAGTTGCATTAATTTCACTTAGGACTACAGTAATACTAACAACACTTAAAATTTTAACAAATTCTTTGGACTTAATTTTCTACTGAATTAATTGTGTTCTCTGAACTGGTTGAGAACACAATTAATTCAATATTATCCACCTGAGCTAGGAATCTGCTCATGTGGAGCCAGTTACATAGGACGTACAATTAGGCGTGTTTCTCGTCACATTTCCGAACATCATTCTTCACAGTGGTTAAGTAAAGGACAAACGAAATCTATTCGCAGTTCTATTCTATCTCATCTTGTGGATACAGGGCACAAGATTGGTGTGACCAAGAGGGCTTTCAAAGTCATCTACCACATACCAACAAATCTCAATTTCGCCTTAAGAGTTCGTTTACCAAACATTGCTGAGGCTATTGGGATCCATACTATCTTCATTATTATTATAATTTAAGTATCTTTAATGAACTGTAATAGCATTGATCATACTTTACAAACCGATATTATTTAAAAACACTAATATTGTTATTGACTACTATTCTAGAATATTCTATGTACAGAAACATGCATATATAATTGTAGAGGCAGAAGAGGAAATTATCGAAAAGGATATTCTTCGCTCAATTATTTTGTTTTTCTCCATGATAGTTTTTTTACCTACGCTGAGAAAATACGGCTTAGGTATACTAAATTATTTCTTGTTGGATCGTGAAAGAAGTCCTTAGCAAAGGATTATTATTTTACCTTGATTCCACACCGTCTTTTGGTACAAGTATGGAATTTTTAGCATGTGATATCGGTAGCCCAAATTTAGCAAGCCAACCATTGACATCAGGTGTGCGTCGGCCGGGGACCAAAACCATGTGCATGGTTGGTGAGAAACCTAATCGCTGTGCCACCGCCTCACAAGTGGGAAGTTGGATAACTACTGTAGGATATTTGTTAGGGACTTACATTTTATTGGTCGACGCATAGGTGGTCACTAGTGACGCGATATCACCTACGCCATCTTTGATTGAAGCTACTATTTATTAACTACAAAAACATTTTGTTTCAGTCACTTTATCACGTCATACATTTGAATATACCCTGACGATAATGAAAGTGATTACATTTCACATAACAGATCAAGAAAATATGAATAATAATAATAAAATATTAATAATCTTTTCGTTGAATCTTTTACTCACCTGCTATCCCAATAAGCTGAATTGTTGTTGTAAGGTAACAGTAAACTGGATGCTGTTCCTGATAAATTGGGCATGTGAATAGTTGGTCAAAACACATTTTAAAAACAGTTAGCTTCCCATATACATATACTCATCCAATGGATACATACACACACAACTTTTATTTGTATTATTATTATTATTCAAAATCCACAAAAGAATTGAGGCTTAAAAAATTTGTCTACATAGATTTTAAATAAAATGAAATAGTTATTAGGTATTATTATTATGAGTAGTAAATCCTAAAAATCACAAATTTTTGTTTTTGTTTTATATTTAAATAATGTTTAGCCCATGAAACAAGCAGAATTGATAGTTGATATAAGTTTTCCTTTGTGTTTTTTTTCACAATTTGAAAGCAAAATTATATAATTAGATATAATCCATTGAATTAGTCTCTTTTTTTTTTAAATCCTCTTTACTCCGTATTCCTTTGCTTGATTGAATAATAAAGTATATCTATTCTTGAGAGTGTAGATATAATAGATATGTACCAGTGATTATTTCTATCACAGTAATAATAAGCTATTACTACTTTGTATCAACAGTGTCAATCTAAAGTGTAGATTTTTTGTTGTAGTTGTTGTTGCTGCAATGTTTGATAATAAGGGGATATTTTTAACTTCCGTCTGTCTGTTGGCCTATCTTTCTTCAATCTACCTTGAAATCAATGTTTGATTGTCTACAAGGGCAACCAACACGCACACATATATAAATAATAATAACGGTATATGGTGTGCATGATTGGAAGATAGACAGACATTGAACTAAATTCTTTCAATTGGTCAATGTTTTTTGTTTTAGAATTTTTTTAATATATTTTTAACACACACTGGACATACTAAAAGTAAGACATATTTTTGGGATCTCTTATATGGCGTGAAGTATATATATATATATATGGATTACACACTGTGAATCAAGAGCATCGTTAAAATCATCAAGGATGCGATAGGTACTTGAAGAATTCTATAGCTTGTTTGCTATCCATGGAATATATTCAACACTAGTAGCAGTTTAATCATCATTGTGAAAAAAAAATTGGACAGTAGATTGACGGGGAAAAAAGTTAAAAGCACGAGATGCGTTAGTGCCATTCATTCATTACTATATCTTATTCAAAAAATGGTTGATTCGTGTTAGTTTACCAAACAATAACAGGAAACCACGTGAGCTGATTACTTTTTGCATAGACCTTTTAAGTGAATAAATGTATCTCAGTAGCTATAATGCTTAATAAGCCGTCTTATTTCGATAATGAATGTACAACTGGGTGTGAAATTAAGAAGTGAAAACAGCTTAGTAGGCTTAATTTTGGATGCATTTATTGGACGTTCACTCGAGCTTAGATTTATGAAGGTCAAGGGAATAATATGAGCAAAATAGATTGAAAATAAAAGTAGCCCAATGTTAAGAGTTGTTGTAGTATACAAATGACCTTTCCTCAAGAATATTGAGTGAACATAGTCAACAAATACAGTTGGTGGAAATTCGCATTTAGACATTTAGATCACATAAATGATTCAGTGAAAAAATGATGATACACTTAGCACTGACAGACTTTAAAAAGTACACCTGCTTACATGGTGACGTTTAAGGCCTTTAGTTCCTAGAGGAACATATGGCTTCAGTCTCAGGTCTCCACTGCGTTCGGTTCTCTGCTGACGTTTTCACCTCGCTCCTGGCACGTCTGCCCACATGGTTTCATCTCCTCTTCACATCACCTCCTCCATGTCACCCCAATCTCGCATTGACGACCAACTCCTCGATTCCCAATCGGGTTCCACTCGAGCGATGGCCTGGAGTGTGATGTCACTCACTTGATGGTTTGCTTTCTCAGAGTATGGCCAATTTACCTCTATTACTTCATGCATATTTGATACACACTCGGTTCCTGCTGGGTTGGTTTGCTCATTGCCAGAGATCCCTGTTGCTGGCCAGCCATATGATCATGAGTTGCATTAAGCGTAGACAGCTTTTGATGAAGACTTGTAGTCTGTTCGGATTGCCCTTCGTGATGCGGCACCAAGCCTCTGATTCGTTAAGTAGCACTGACTTTACATCGGTTTTGAAAATGCGGATCTTATTTTAATTTTCATGCTTACTGCTGTTGATCTCCATACAGACTTGAGAGAAGTAAAAGCTTGCCTTGCTTTCCTGACGCTCCCTTTGATATTCTCATCAGTTCCGTCCGCCTGTGGTTGAAACGATGGTCCACAGGTGTTTAATAGCTGAAGGAGATTGCTTCTTTCAGATTTCTTCCATTTATGCTGATTGTTGTCTTTTGTTGTTGCTGCTGTTGTCCAGTAATCCTCATCATTTCTCTTTTCTGTATGTTCACCTGATGTCTTATATTCTCTGGATGCTTCTTCTGCCAACTTGTTGTCTTTCACTTGCATACCTTCCAGATTGTGGGAAATCAAACAGATATCATCAGCGAAGTCCAGATCCTCCAAGTCCTTCTTTGTGTGGGTCCATTTTATGCCTGTGTTCTCGTTGCTCAACGATGTCTGTCGCATACTCCAGTCTACCGCAATCAAGGTAATCATTGGAGACAGTATGCAGCCTTGTCTCACTCCCGTCTTCACTTCGAAGGATTCCGTGAGTTTCCCGTTGTGGATTACTTAGCATGCAGCATTGTCAAACAACTGCTGGATGAGATGTATAATTGTTGGGAGCACCCCATAGTAGCGAAGTAGTTGTCAAATCAACTCTCGAACAACGCTGTCGAAGGCCTTTTCAAAGTTAATGAAGTTGAGATAGAGAGCTGACTGCCATTCCAAACTCTGTTCAATGATGATACTAAGTGTTGTGATTTGATCGATGCATGACTTGTTCCTCCTGAATCCAGCCTGTTCCGGTCGAAGTTTTTCATCTAGAGAGCGTTTGATTCTCTTCCAAATGATGCGACTTAATAATTTGCTTGGGATAGACTGTTCACATATAACTAAAGCACGCATCTCAGTGGATCAGTTACATCTTCTTCAAACACATCAGTAAAAAAAAAGAAAAATCTATAAAACATCGCGTCAACTTGCTTCTCATGTGTAGGGGGAGTGAATGTAATTCAGGCTGATTTGTTATATTACAACTCTGTATAATGCATAATCCTCTAGTATTATCATACTGTTGGTGACAGGTGATATATCGGATTAGTAACAAATAAAATCTACTCCATCTGTCACATACATTTAAAACTAAGTAATAGAGTTGCCTACATTCTCTACGTCACTCAAGTTTTGATGGGAATTCAGTGAAACTAGTTTTCTTTTCAAATAAATCAATTATACTTCATCGTAATAGATGACACTTCATAACTATAACCGTATATCGTCGTTAAAAGTAAGATATCACTTTCTTTGTGATTGAAAGTTTTTCTCCACAGAAAATTGCTCAAGCATCGTGGAACTTTAATCACTGCATTTTTATAGAGATCTCGTTTATTTCGCTGAGTTTTAGTTTGGAAATTCCAAGAGTATCGATGACAGAAATACCTAAATGATAGGGTAGTTAGTGAACTGGAATAACATAAAAGCATGGAGTCTTGTTTAAGTTTATCTTTCGATTTAAACGCGTTATTTGAACTGTGATAACTTGTTCTAGGCAATTTACAATAAAACACTTGTTAAAATCAGAGAACCATAATTTCTCAGAAAGATTTTGGTCCGAAGTTAAACTTTTGAAGCATATGCAAATTGGAAAAATGAATTAAGTGTCATTTTCTGCTCCACCTCCATCTGTAACCAATAATGAACGAAAAGATTTCAATATAAATAAATTAATAAATAAATACATCAATAATTACTACCAAGCGAAATACAAAATCTCGTAATCAGCAAAGCTATTATTTACGTCAATCAAACTGTCAGGAGTTTATCCTCTGACCTTGATACTGCATAATCTGCATTTTAGAACCATAAACATGATAGGTTTTATCAACTTTGTTGACATATCGTATAAATGAATGATAGTGCGTCGGTGGAACAGCAGTTATGACTCTCGCCGACTATGCACATGGTCTGGGGTTCGATCCCCTGCCGAAGCATACCCGATATCAATGGTTGGCCTTCAAAATTTGGGCTACTGATATCACATGCTGAAAATTCCATACTTATATACCAAAAATACATGTGGAATTAAGCTATGATAAAAAAATAATGACAGCGAAGTTCAATTAGCGTAAAATAGTTTGACTGTTGAAGATTAAATTTCCGATATTGAATTATTAGTTAAAACTCCAAATCTTTCCATCATATTTCAAACCAGGCTACAAATGTACAGAAACTATACAAACAACAGTTAGTCCACGCTTTATAGTTGTACAGTCCGAAAAATATTCTCATATATTAGGAGTTAATTTCATGACCTATCTTAGCTTTAAAATACCACTACTATTTAGCATGTTTTATTCGGGAATGTTGCCTAAATATCTGCACACCAAGTTTCCTCAACAAACCCGTGTTCAAGACGCAGCTTGATGATCCTGATTTCATCTGAGGAGGACAAAGTCTTGTAGGAAATGTTAAAAATACTTGAAAGTGGGACAAATAACTATCATGTGCTCCCTGGGTTTTAACGGCTCTCCAAATGATATCACCTTATAAATATTCAAGCTAAAAAATTACTTCTTTCAGGGTGTTTTGCACCAAGAAATCCCTAAAAAGACGCCTAATATAAACATCAGTCTCCCACTCATTCAATGACCACTTGGTGGAATTCCTGAAGTTGTATTGAGAAGTTACGAAGAGCGAAGTCCAGCCTGACATTGAAAGCACCGGTTGACGAGATCGTTGTATAAGGAACTGACCAATTTAGAATTCACCAATAACTGAACTGCGGCCCAAGTGGCTGAATGGTCGACTAGCCTGGTTTCGTAACCTCAAGATCGTGGGTTCAACTTCCAGGCAGGTTATAAGATGTCCATAGAAAATTCCGAAACAAGGATGAAACAACTGTTCAGTGTCTGCTGGTTTTCGTCGTTATCTAAACTGTGTAGAGTCATTATATAACCTGCATTGAAAATAAAGAAGAATCAGGTGTTAAACATATAGTTGATTCATAGAAGACTTGATAGTTTATAATGCAACCTATCATGAACAAATCAATTTGAGGGTTGAATAAAGATTCAAGCTCCAAAGGAGTGCGATCTCACTAGTGACCTTGGAACTCCCAGTAATCAGTTTAGCGAAATCAGACCAATAACATTATAGGCATTGTTAAATATGCTTGATAATCTGAAACGGGATATCAGGTAAGTTTTAGGTATGGGATTAAGTTATAATCTGAACTAAGGTTCGGTTAGTGTTAAATTAAACTGATAAGGAAGATATTAAGGTTTCTTAGGGTTAGTAAAGGGATAGTTTCGCATTGGAGAAACATCAGAGTCACGGCAGGGGTCAGAAGACCTATTTGAGTACATGTAGTACATGTAGAGAGTGTGCTTCAGCTACTCTATTAACATTTTTATGCAAAACTGGAGGGGAGGTATTTTTTTCATCTGTCAGAGAAAGGTATTCTGTGTATCAGTTTTACGTTTTTCTTTATTTGCAAATAAAGAAAAACGTAAAACTGATACACAGAATACCTTTCTCTGACAGATGAAAAAAATACCTCCCCTCCAGTTTTGCATTATTTGCATAATTATTTGCATTTTATAAGTATAAATCGCCTTTTTCATGTGACTGGTGAGTTCAGTGTCATTCTGCC